TGCGCCGGCCAAAAGCATAGGTTGCTCTTCCTATAGTCGTTTTTTGCTTTTCTTTTTCATATATATATATATATATATATGTAGATTCATTCTTTTTATTCTGAAATAATAATATGGCTTTTCAAAGTCTCTATTTAAATTATTTAATTAGCACTTGCAATGGATTCGTTACACTGAAATGATTTTCACAGTGATTTATGTAAATTGTTAGCACACAAAATTACAAAATTCAAGTGATTTTCTAACACGATCTTTTTAATATTTTTTTCGGTTTGAAGGGCCTTTCATTGACTTTTTGTAACAAGAACACACCGCCCGCTATACACAAAGACGTATATATCTATTGACTAGATCGAGAGGAGAGTATGTGAAAAAATTCTAATATATTTTGAAAGAGGAGAGTATGTTTTCTGATGATTCTGTTGGCGTTAAAGTAGAGTATGTTGTAGTACCGTCTAGCCTCTGCGGTCTTCACGGTTTTCGCGGAACTGATAGGAGATAACAACATGGTGTTTTCGGCAAAGTTGTAGTACTCTTGTAGGTCTTCTATAACATTGCTGAAGACATCTATCTCTTATCTCTTATCAGTTGCGCGCAAATCGCGCAGATAAAAAAGCAAATTTTATATAGAACTTTTTTTTTCTTATCATTTTTCGCGCTTTTCGTGGAACTGATAAGAGATAAGAGATAATTGACTTCAGCAATGTTATAGAAGACCTCAAGTGCTACAACTTTGCCGAAGACACCAAGTTGTTATCTCTTATCAGTTCCGCGGGAACCGTGGAAAACCGCGAGGACCCGCCAAAAATGAACATACTCGCCTTTAACCATTTTTGAGTCGAAAGAAACTTACTCTTCTCTTTCATAACAAAGTCAGATGAACTTACTCTCCTCTCGATCTAATCAATAGATATGTTCAATTATTTGGAGAAGTATCGACCAGATTTCCTAATGTGCAGATAGTATTGGCCGTCGAACACTTTCGAACGCTTGTTCGTTCGTTCGACATGGTTTTAAGAAAAGGTTTTGTTCGTTCGTTCGTTCGACAATTTAAAAAAAATATTTTTTGTGCGTTCGTTCGTTCGACAATTTGAAAAAATATTTTTTTGTTCGTTCGTTCGTTCGTTCGACATTCATTTTGTTCGATTTTCGGTCCGAACAAAATTTTTTTACATTAGAAAATTCGATAAATTGATCAAATTTATAATGTAATCGTTACAGCTCATGCTTTTATAAGCTTTTATTATAATTTTTCATAGTAATACCAAGTTTATTTGGGAGATTTCGAAATAAAAAAAAACTTTGTTCGGACCGAAAATCGAACAAAATGAATGTCGAACAAACGCACGAACAAAAAATATTTTTTTTAAATTGTCGAACGAACGAACGAACGTTCGAAGCCATCACTATGTGCAGAAGAAAAAATTTAGCTTTTAATCGTTACAAATTTGCAGAGTCTGAACTTAGAGTGTTGTTGAACAGTCATGTATTCATTTCGTGCACAATCGAAAATCTAAGCCTCGTGCTCATGTCATAAGCATCATATGAGTATTTGCTACAAACGAATTCATGACTTCAAGATATTTCATATGAATAATTTGGGATTTTTCACCAAAAATATCGAAAGGATATCAAATCCAAAAATCTACTTTGGAAAAAATTATGTTTCTAAATCATTACGAAGGCTCAATTAACAAATTTATCAGATCATTTAAAAATCAAGTGTTTCAACGAATTTTTCTGGTTTTATTTATCGGCTAAGCATTTTACGGCACCATTGACTTGGTATGCAGTGTCAACCGGTTTGTTGTTTCAATATAGAACGCGCATTTCATTGCCTATCGGAACTGGGTGGCTACATATTTGTATCATTAGAGGGATATAAATAAATGTATCAAATTGGTTGATGGTATAATCAGAGTCACTGTTTCAGGTATTTAGTAGTCAGAATGACCGGCGAAAATATGACGGAAAAGTGCATACAAAAGAAAACAGCAATATAACAATATCAAACGAGATGAAGGCAACAATATTGTGTTGTTGCGATTGTTAAAATTTCACACCATTTGAATTAGCGCGGGCCTTGAGCGTGGCTTTGTTACAATTACAATTGTAAGTACTGTGTTGCTAAATTTCAATTTTTTCGGTTTTTCATTTCTAAAAAAATCCCAAACTATTAATTTGAAATCCTTCCTCTGTTGCAGTTTATAAGGTGTGGTGCTGGAATTAATCATAACAATTAACACACAAATTTTGTCTAGCCAATTTAATGTTGTACTATTCGTTGTATTCGCATACTATACACCAATTGATACAATGTTTAAATTGATCGCAAAGGATACATATACAACTATTATATATAAATTTCACGAGCATTTTATCGGTTGGCTCCAATATATCAATCATCGAAACATTCTAAAATACCGTTGATAGTCCAATAAAAGGTTGATGTTTTGAAAGCGATCGATTATTTTACACAGTTCTCAATTTGAATTACAGGCAAACACATCTACACTAACGATTTAGTTTGATAACTGCTACACTCAAATGTAGGATAGGTTTGATTCGTTCATTCTAATTTTTCTGATTTTATTTTCATTATTATTTTTATATTAATTTTTGGCAAATTGATTCTAACAATTTTTTAAGACGACTCAATTGTCACCATAATTTTTTTCATTCAACAGCTCTGGTTCACTGCTCAAGGGTAATTCAAACTCAAATTAGCCATATTGCTTATTCATTGAATATATCAAAATAATTGATCAACAACACAAAGAAATAGGATCAGGAGAACAACACTAAAATCCATACTACTATGATCGACGTGTAATAGTCTCATTCTGCAATATATGACATAGGTAGATCCACTTTGTGCATAAATTTTTCATTCACAATAATAACATTGGGCTTCCGTGTATACAATGTCTGCTACTTTGGTGTACTGGAATCGAATGAGATAAGTGGCACACGCTGTTATGATTGTTTTTACCGATCGTAGTATTTCAAACATTTTTTTTGATAATCATCTAACATGTTTTGGGCAATTTCAATTTCCAAGGCTTTTTTCGTTTAAAAATCTTTTTTTCACATACCTCTCTTTGTGAGTTGAGTGAATGACTGAGTTTTTTTTATTTTTTCACTTTTAGTCGGTTGCTACTTATGTCATTTTTAAAAAATCCAGTCTATTCTAGTTAATTGACTAAAGCTCTTAAAATAAGTTGGATGTGTGTGTGTTCATGTGTCATTTTTTTTATCAGAATGTCTACAGGACATATAACAATGGATGATATTATCCCGTCTTCTAATAAAGAGCAAATAAACTTTTCTCAATCATTTACTAAAAAAGGTGTCAACTAGATATTTAGACACAGATAGCAAACGTAAAAAAATCATACTCAATAATACCATGCGATCATGTGATCGCGTGGAGGCAATACTCCGAACATTAAAAAAACAAATCCTAATGCTATTAATTGAATTTTCACCACTCAATGTTTGAGAAAAAGTTTTACAGGTGAATGATTAATAGAATAGTCTACTAAACTACTCAATCTGAATTTATAATTACACTAAACTTTTTAATCGTTTTTTTATTGACATTTATTGTACATTTACTAGTAATTTCGAATTCAATTTTAGCAAATGTTTTTTGTATTTTTTCCTTCTGTTCGTTTGTTGTTGAGTGAACCATGCAATGTGCTATTTAAAAAGCCTTAAATTGGAATTTTAAAAAAGCACCTCATTGATTTTCTTTATAAAAAATGCCCATTTTTTCTGGATAATATTCATTATTACTAATAGTTTCATGTAAAATTTGCCCAGAAAATTTGACGTCATTTTGGTCAAAGGTGAAATTGATCTAACTTGACGTATTTGTTTATGAAACAAAACTCATTTTTATTTGCGAAATTTTTTTCATCCGTATTTTATTCTTTTCACCGATTTGATTAATATTGTTTCCAAGAATGTGATTTTGATTTTAAGAGAATGTCTACGTTTCGTTTATTGTTCAACACGATTCGAAGTGTCTCAATGATAATATGGTTTTATTGATGTTACGAATCCCTGTTATTTTTCTGCTGCTGATATTGCATTGGAAAATATTTGATGTAAAAGAGAGAGAGAGTTGATCTTTTTTTCTTCGACTCTTTGCATCCATTTGTAAAAAAATATATTTAAAAATATACCTCATTTTGTATTATGTGATTGAAGTGTTTCTCTGTGTGTGGTATTTTGTACTAATAATCCTTAAGTCCTCAACTGGTTGCATAAACCAAAGCTATAGAAAGACGAGAGCGATTCGACGAGTGCAATTGAAAACAAGAGATCAAGAGGTTCGACTGAATCGCACTAGCAGCTCATTCAAAATCTTTTTCACTTTGTGTTGCGTGTTCTGGTTCAATAATACTCACCCACAAAAAAATCATAAGAAAACATAACCAAGATATAACCTCTGTTTCGCTCTGATGTAGAAACGAAGGTTACAATCGACAAATTTAAGATTGCGAATCATGTGTTCCAGGCATTGAAGTGTGTATGAAAGAAAAAAATCACAAAAATAAATTCACATAAAACTTAACGAGCCTCATATCGACGACAATATGAAGAAATACGACATTTGCATCAGCTGAATGACGCAATCAATCCTCAAAAGACGATTAGAATGATTTTTTTCGGTTGTTTTGTAAAATATATCTTTTTTTCTATTTATTCTTTTTTTCTCACAACTTGCTTTAATCTTTTTGTTTCATTTTTTTTTATTTTGCTAAGGTTGTGTATTTTGTTATTTTCTCTCTCAGAAGTTTATTTTGTTATCTAAATGTTGTTTTTCTCTTTATAGAATCATCATCGACTACTCCATGTATGAATTAAATTATTCTTAAATTTAATACAGCATAAAACTGAAGTAGAAATTAAAATATTTCACGCGCGTTACAGACACAAACTCGAGTAGCCAATCGGCCCTACATTGAAATGTGCATTAGTTTTTTTAATGATTTTTATTTTGTTTTGTATTGTTTTTTTATAGCAATATATTCAAATTGTTTCTAAATTGGTTGCAAATTCGCATGAAAATCTATGATGTTTGGTTTTCATGTTCTTCGCATTTCACTGTGGTTGATATACATAAATTCGGCACTAGCAGCCCGCATCATTCATTCACTGAATACCACTTTTCGTAAAAAAATAATCCCAAAAATCCACATTGTCATTTCATTTTGGCCTCTTTCTTCTGCATCTTTCACTTCAATATCCTCATGCCACTGTCGCCGCTTTTTATTCTACAATAATGTCACATCTTGTGATTTATTTTTCACACATAGCTTATAACATAATAATTGGTTTTTGCTCTTTTCTTCATTTAATAATAATATTCACTAGAGATACAATATGTTTATATAGATATATGTATAAATAAATAACAAACGAAAAACACACAATTTTTTCAATTATTTCATTCAGGCATTAATTAGTTTGTTTTGTTTCAACAATTCGTAAATAGGTGAATTTATCGGTTGCGAACAATTGTTGCCTCGTTTTATTTAACTGCAATTCGATTCTGAATCAAGCATATTTTCTCATAAGCATTTGATCGCAAGCCTGAATCATGAATTTATAAAACATGATGTTCTTTACGAAGATTGTATTGTTGCTGTTTGACTGTCACATGCTAAATTGCTGAGTTTGATTGATTTGTTGTTATTATTGTTGTTATTGTTGGTATTGTTGGTTTTAGCTACTGCTTTCCTGGCGTACAGACAAACTACTTAAACACATATTTTTACAAATAGTACTTCCAATTAAAATAACTGAAATTGTGTTATCTACGAAGCATAACAAACGCGAATGATATCTTCTCTCGCTGCCGAAAATGGGTTATCGAAAAGCGATCGAAGCGATTTAATTCTGTTTCTTTCGTCTAAGTTCAAAAAAATTAGTGGTGTAAATTACTTTAAACAAATGCCCAACATTCAAGTGTTTTCACAACAAAGTCCTCTTGAGGTGCGAGTGGCTCGTTGGCGTATGTGCTGCATCGCTGTGATCGTCCCTGGTTCAAGTCGCCATCTAACCATAAACCGAATTTGCCGCTGCAAATATAAACAGACAATTTAATCAGTTGAATCAACGCAATGGGCATATTAAAGTTGCGACTTACTCTCCAGCTCCAATGGACAAACTTTCTGGATTGCCCTTGATGAAGTACAAATTCTCACCAGTCCAATGAAACACTTTGAAACTTGGATTGAATTTGAATAACAGCGATTCACCAGTTCCGTAGAATAGTTCCGAAACATGGAGCGAACACGATGTCAAAGCACCAAATACCTGTTAAATATGAAGGCGAGATTTGCATTAGATTTTTTGGTATATTTCATACTGGTGCGATTGCCTCGTATGCATACTATTGAGAGAGAACTCACATTATTTTCTGTATCCTGAATTACTATTAAGATAGGACTTTCTATTCTCGCCAATTTCCTATAGAGAGAGTTTAATGAAAATCCATTCTGTGAAGTACTGAACACCAACGACCAAGAATAGCCTTCTGCTCGCGCCGGTAGGTGTCCACAAAGCTTTTCTCTGTTGAGAAGATATTGAGAGATGATATTGATAAATATAATTCTATGAAATGGTATATTTAGTCGTATGTGATATTTATGTACCTGTGCTCTTCAGTCAAAATTTCCGTGTTGCCAATAAGGTCGGGTAGTGGGAAATCTTGGTCAAATGATCCGGTTGCAAACAAAGATGCTTTGCGGTAGTCATCTGTGCTCATAGACAGCACCTATTCCGATGATAAAATAACAATTATTAGATTTATTTCGCTATATAGAATGGATATGACATGGAAAATAAAAACAAAAAACAAATGGACTAATCGCTAGAGAGGAAATTAACGTTCATATCTAAGGAGACAGACAGACTTTACTAGATGTGACACAAACATACTAAACGTGATATGGTAAATGACCGAAGCGTATCGTCAATTGATGAGTGGGCGTTTGATTGATAGAGTTTAGTATTACGTACGAGATAACAAAGAAAACAGAACAACTAACATCAATCACGTGGCTACAGAAAAGATATTTGCACATTCACGCACGTTCGCAATCTCACACACTAACATTCAAATATAGTCAAATAAATTGTTTTTACAGGGGTGAAAATTTCAAACTAGATTCCCAGATCCACTAAAAGTGAATTTCAAAATCCATTGAAAATGAATGAAAACCAAAGGGAGATATTCAAATGTTGCCACAGTGGTTCAAGTTATGCGTGTATTTATCCTCTGCATAAGACGTGCATGCGGTTTTCTTGTCTGTGCAATGCGTATAACAAAACTTGAAATGCATACTTAAAATATCAGGTTTTTTATTAATCCTATTGAATTCAAATATAATAAATACAAAAATTCGCAAGGTGGAACACAAATGAATATCCCTTCTTGATGTCAATTCCAAATTTTTGTTTCATTCTTTCCATTCATAAATTGAAGATTCACTTATTGTACTCAGAGGCGGTAAATGTCACCGAAAATGTTCCTTCTACAAATATTTCTATTATTACCGATTCGAGATCGAATTTCTTCTTTGCATTGATGGATGCATCGGTTTCGACACTTTGCAATGACGAGCCGACAACAGGCCGATATTTTCGTCGGATGTAAGGCATGAGTCGCGGTCGATAATAGTTATACAGTTGATTGCCCCATTTTCGTCCGGAAACGTATGCAACAATCATACCAATTACTGCTATAAAAAACCACATGATTTTTCCTTCTCGTTACTACAACACTGTTCTTTTTTTATTATGTATGTCGGACGCTATTTCAATTCACTATCCATACATGGTATATGATCTGTTCTATCGATATGCTTTTTTGTTCTTTGATGATTTAACCGGAAGGCAGCGAAACTAGAACACCAAGTTGTATTGATTTGTATACATATTTGACAGACTTTTCTCTGCCGTGATGATAATTACATCCACCAATCGGGGTTTTTTCATTATTCATCGCAACTTATTCGTTACGATCGTTCACATCGAACCGAAATTTATAAATTATATTCAATCGATTTCACAAAATATGTACGCATGGAAAGTTTAAAATGTCAAATAAATCAGAAGTTTGTTTCGATACAGAAAATATGGACAGTGTTTCGTTGGATAGAAGAAATGTTAGATGAGTGTTCTTTTGAATACACCGAACAAGCTATGGACTGCACTGAAACACCGAAAATCCCCGAATATTCATTTTTACCCTTCTTAAAAGCAATTTATTTGATAATTCCAATTGAATCCTGTATTTTATAGGTCAATCAATTAAAAACTATCGCTGGTTTAGTGGTTCCTGTATTCGAAATTGCGGTCTAGAAAGTATTCTCACGAAATTAGCTTAAATGAAATTGAAAGTGTTCTACTAGCAACATCTAATTCATGCAACTTTTATAATTAAGATTCGAGACGTGAAATGCCAATGACTAGAAGAAAGTAAAAGTTCCAGAGAATTGAATATTCGCAACAGTTGCAAAAAAAACATTGTTTTAAAGCCGATCCAATGAGATCAGAGTTTGATATATTAGATGCGTGAAAAACTGTACGATTCATTTGAATAAGATGGAAGTTTTCATTTTGAATATTGATACACAGACAGTAACTTGAATAGATGAATCATATCGTGAGATTTGTCATTAAATTTTCCTTTTGCTCGTGAAAATGTACATGAATGGCTTAGCAAAAGCAAGCATTTCAAAGTGTTAATTTCAATTTCATCTTTATTTTCTTTTTAAAAAATTCGAATGGCCTATGTGATGCTGAAACAATTGTTGTAAAAAACCAAAACACACGCAAGCGCGCTATAAAGCAACGAGCACCGTTATGGTTAGCACGTAGTATGCGGTTGTACACAATATGAAAATATCACCAACTATTTGTTAACGTCGGCAAAACTCGAACGTCGCAAAGCCGCAGCTTGAACGCGTTCACACTCGCTAACGATTTCGTAGTAAGAGTGTCTGATGACATTTGTCGGAAAAAATAGGCACTCGAGCAAAATTTAACTACCAAATATACGCTAAAAAAAACGCATTTTTAAAAGAGAAATCCAATTTTTAAGTGTATAACAGCGATTAATGCACAGTGATCTCATCGTGTGTTTTTTCTAAATGAAACAAATTGCTTTCGAGTTTATCACGGAAACTACGCCGCATTGTTTTGAATGCAGCATTTTAAAACTAAATTTATATCTAACAGGACAAACTCGAATTAAGACTGAAGAAATGATGTTCTAAACATCATAGCTATTATATAAAGGGAATTCGCCCATTATTCTAGGCATGCGGAAGAAATATGTGTGTATGACGTTTCACAGCAATACACAGACTGACAGCGAACGCAACAATTTTTTATTCGCTTAACGCAAACACAAATGCGAACTGGTTCGCTGGCTATATCAGTATCGGTGTATACGCGATGTGTGTACGTTTGCAGTACGGGAGTTTGGTAAATGAAGTGAAATGTTAAGTACAGAGCCGTCACCGCCGAACTGCCGTTACGCGTATTCACATTATTTATATTTTTCAACCATACAGAATGCCACGAAGCAATCGTGTTCATATTGATGGTTGCGCGCTCTTCTGTGTATGTTTTAATTTAGCAACGAAGATTTGCATCCACAACAGTAAACATGAATATCGGCTCAAAATTTTGTTTTTACTTCGACCGCAATCTGAATTGATATGATTTTATTCTTAGTTGTTGTTTTTTTCCTGACAGACCTCAACTCAACAAAAACTAAATTCAGAGTTTTAATGCGATTTACGTCTTGTATGTCAGTGCAAACGTTTTGTTCTCTAGCTGATTCGTTTCATTTTTTTTGTCATTATAATTTGTTCATGGTTTCTCATATGAAAATTAGACGATTATAAACAAAAACAATTTGTTTACTCATCCGCGTGGCTAAATCTTTATCCCAAAAATGCCGCGTATCTTCTACCCTCGGCCTAGAACAGCATGTCAGAGATTCCCAACTTGATTGGGTTCTTTTTAACTTTGTTTTGTTTTTTATCATAATCCAGAAATAACTAGTATTTGAATGTGACTATATCACATTGTCAAATTAGCATTTGGAAATGATGTTTATGATATTGGCTTTATGCACAAAATGCGAATCAACTTTGATTTTTGCAGCTTTCTTACGCAAAAAAAATCGACTTATTGGTGATGAGAGCGATAATAAAGTTGAGAAGAAAAGACATGATTTGTCTGAATTATGTGCAGCTATCAAATGTTGAATAGTTATTATAGCACGCGCCTACATTTCAATCAGAGACAACTAAATATGCAGCGAATCGTTCTCTCTCTCTTAACGCAAAAAATGTTTACGTCTATAAAATAATGCATAAAATTACGCTGAAACTTGTTTTCTAATCGGCCGAAGGCCATTCCAATTATAAAACTTGCTCTTTTTACGATAGTATCTCAATGGTTTTTTTCGCTATTCAATAAATTGCGGAACTGAATGAGTTCATTTCGGAACCGAAACATAGGTCAAGTCACCAATGAAACTCAAGATATTCTAGAAGAGTCAGCGATTCATAGTGAAATTCATTTTGATACATTCACACTTTATTTGGTTTTTGCATTACAAATGTGTGTAATTAGGTTGCAATTATGGAGTCCCAATGAAATATCAGATATTTTCAATCGACGAATAAAAATTTATCAAATGAAATTGCTGCAAATTGCAAATACGGTGAGACACATAAACTTGACGTGTGTATTCCATTCGATGGAAAAATTTGATTAATCCGTGAGAGATGTTTCTTTATTCAAACGGGTAAACCATGTGCACAAAGCAGTCAACGATAACCACTTTATTATCATTGAATTTGACTTTTATTTGTGCACCGACTTTTTTGGATTTAATTTGAAGGGTGAATCCAATGGAAGTGGGCACGAGACGAATTAGTGTGCACTGTTCGGCCAAAGCATCAGCTGTATCTTTTTGCAATTTAAACATCAAAACAACAACACAAACAAAAGATAATGTCAACAGGCATAAATCACATGATTGAAATCAGTTTAAAATAGCATTTTTCACTTTACCACCTTCACCTGTATGTTTTTGTCAAACGATCCGACGCTGAAGCGCACTCGAGTGTTTATCGATAAAGATTGCGAAAAAAACGTGTGGTTTTGTTTTGGACAAATTGGTAACCGGTTTGTGTGTTTCGAGTAGATAACATAGAAAAAAGTCTCGAGTGTGAGAACGAGGAGAATGAAAATGCTCATTGACGAGGCCCGTTAGCATGTGCTATGTTTTGTTTGGTAATAAAATATATAAGATTTGGTTTATTATTGTTTTCATTGCAGCTTGTGACCCAAACAAAAACCAGTAACCTGAAGATGTTTAGTAACAATACGGAAATATATATTTCGATCGGTATGCAAGCGAACTATCAAAGTGATTGTTGTGTTGACCTTAGAAAAAATATTTGCCAAAAATATTCAGTCCAACATTCAGCTCTTGTTCATTTAAAGTCATTTCAATTCCAAACTCATATGTTCGAAACAGTCATTCTTGATGGTATACACGTAACATTTTTGTTCGCTTTAGTGACATATTTTGTAACATTTTGCTGGGGGAATCAAAACGCCTTTTATATATACATACATATAAGATCTCTTTCTGCGTCAGTAAAAATAACTGTTCGGAATGCAAAGAAGCAAATAAAGAAATCGAATGAGTAAAATATTGTTCAATCAATTTCAAAGCCATTCGCCTTTCGACGAACAAGATGCAATTATATTTTTTGTAAACACTTTTGGCATCTTCTTTCGCCCATATCAATTCGATCTGAGTGCGAGAAGCAAAGTGAGACCCGGTTACCAGCATTTCGCTATCCGATAACGTCAGTTGTGTAGATTGTTTTCATTTTTAATCAATTTTAATTAATCTAAATGAATCGAGTGCAATAAAAGTGACGTATATCGATTAAAATACGTTTAAAAATACTTTTCAATTTGGTTCATTTGCTGAATTGCTGACTACAGTGAATAGCCAATGCATGAAAATTGGCAAAGATGGTTGTTGTGTCGGGCACAAACGATTGATTGGGCGCGCGAATCCAGTCTTTTCTATGTTTTCGAGTCATTTGTGTTTGGTCACTATGCTTCCCATAATAGCTTCTTCCTATCAATTCGACACACATATTCAACAATCTTCAATATTTGATGCCGAAGAATCGAATTTATCAATATTTTCCGGAATGTTGCCACATTCACGACGTCACATAGGTCTCTAATTAAAAAACACATATTTCATTTCTATGCGTTGCGCGACAATCATCACGTACGTTTTCTTTTCTCAAAAAAAAAACAAGAAAAAAAATTACTCATTCTGATATTTGAATTCAGGCCAAACCGAAATATTTTGATTTTATTGCGAGAAATTTTTTTGCCACGAATGATTTGCATGAAATGACGGTAACTAAAGTGTAGTCGTATCTTGATAAAAGACTTCGTCGTGAAGCTGCAATTTTCAAATCGTTTTAGATCGTGTTCAGTTATCATTGCTTTCAGACTGATTGCTCAGACTGAAATAACGACACGAATTTGAATCAACCCTGTTTGTAGGAGCCCAAAGGCTATTGGCCAGATTTCAAAACTATTTTTAAATTTGTGTTGTTGATTTGCTCTGTGTGTGCAAATTCTTTCATCCTTCGCTCAAATATTGCTGCCGTTGATTGGCAATGCATGATGATCAAATAAAAAAATAACATCAGAACGAATATTCAAATTATTTGCAAAACATCAATTGACACTGTCCACGTTCAAATAACATATGCACAAAAGCACAGCAAAAACACAAAATTGCCACAGAATAATGATTGCAATAAGATAAACAATTGGCGATGTTGTTCATTGATTGAAGTTGAAATGGTAATAAGATTACAATTTTGGAATGGCACGAACGACTGCCGCCAGGAATTGAATTGAAAGGAACCTGTTTTTTCTTTCAATCTATTTTTTGCATTTTTTTTGTCTTCTTTTGCAGTTGCGTTTAAGTTGTGTTGAATGACCGAAATGTGAAAGAAAAACTTGTGAGCGCGGGGGGACAGAAATGAATATGGACGAAAATAAAGTCAATCCGGTGACGAAATCTAGTTAAAATCTCTCACCTTCGTCTTTAAGTACTTTGCCACTCGAGCGACTTTCGATGGCTTCGAACTTTTCTTTAACGATGACATTGTAATACTATGCGATGAATTCTCGTTGATCCGGCTTAGTTCTGGAAAAAGCAATTGTTCAAGTGCGCAAATATTCCGTCGAATATTCCTTTTTTGGGTTTCTTAATGTTCAATGCACGTTTTGCGGGCTTGACTTTGTTCGGCGATTCCACAAACAAAACACCGAATTATTTTTATCGTTTGAGATTATTGAATAGTTGATGTACCGAGCTGCACTGTATAACGAGTCGTGACAAATGGACTGTAAAACTGTTACTTCGTGTATCTATTCAAATATTCTTCCCCAAATTGTTATTATCGGCAAATGCAACTTATCCCACAGTATTGGTAACACAAAAATACTCGCAGCAAAAACGCAATTTCCGAGTGATTTCAGTTTCCGAAAATGCAGAATAAATTGATAATTTCAACTTTCACAAATTTGGCGTTTACATCGTGGCACTTTGAAACAGATACAAAATGTTGCTAGCGAAAACGAACTGAATATGTTTCTCTTTTTGCTGTTGTCACAAAACGAAAATATTTCTGCGTTGCTCTAACCAAATTCATAACATTTGAATGATGACAGTTTTATTCTCGCCAAATACAACGTTTTCATAGAAAACGCTCGAAACAACGTTTTTTCTTAATTATAGAAATACAAATTATTTGGGCTCAACCAAAATACATCACTCAAACTGTTGATCATTTGAATCGGAACGAATGTGAACACTGTTTCGTTTATTTTTTTTTATTCACAAAAATAGCGATAATTTCTTGTAGCAAAATCTACGATCTGCAAAACACAATCGAACTCGATCACTACACTTTCGAGACTAGAGCCAATGTTGGTGACGACGCGAATTCGAGTTGGCTCTCTCACTCACTGCTCAAACAACGGTGCGACAGTTGAACAGCCGACTCAAAGCCGAAATCGTTGACTGGCGTACATACATATTATTATTACTTTTTTTTCTATACAAAAAATTACAAACACTGTGACACCGAGAAAGACAGAGAGAACCATAGAAACGGTACTATGGATGGTCAACATTTAGCGTTTGCTATTGTGTATACTAACAATTGTCTTTAGTCTTCTATTCTTTTCATATATACTGATATCACAGCGTTGTGTTGTTGTTGTCGTCGTCTTTTTTGGGCAATGATTGAAAGTTGTTTACGCGTGCATTGTTCAAAACATGAAACAAAGCTTGGGCCACAGTGCATGAAGCGAGAGACGCGAGCTAATGTAGTCTATGGATTCAGCTGAATATTCATTTTATTGATTTTGCATTCAAAATTCGGCTCTTTGCATTGGAAAATACCGACAATGTTTTTGTTTGTTCATTCGTGAAAAAATATGTGTTTACAATGAAATCACCGGAGAGACTGACGTTGAACTAAAATAGCAGACGAAAATAACAGAAATATTCGCTGGCCGAACGTTCACAATTTGAATTGCAAAATCTACAATTTGCAAACCAAATCAGAGCAAAATGACTTCAATTTTTATCATAATAAAGTAGAAAATGATCCGTTTAACATGATTAATCGCAATTTCGATTCATGCATATCGAGCAAATGCATTCATCCTCTGCTAAAAAAACACATTGAATATTTGCGTTAGAAAAATCATAAAATAAGAACACATCTGATCAATCATTGTATTCCTGCAGTTCGTCATGTGTTTACTTATTTATTTGGTAATTGCTTGCATTTTAAGTATCGTCTTATGATGTTTTTGTATTTCGAAATTGAAAACAGAAAAAAAAAACAAATATAGACACATTACTGCATACTGCAGATATCTTACGGTACGCGTTGATACGCCTTATGTGATTGTGAAATGTCAAATTAGCTTCTGTATGGCTTTGTTTTAGTGAGACGGATCGAAAAAAAACACTGCACGATGTACAAATAATGTCTCTTATGCCGACGCTCAAGCCATTTGCATTAAATCCACGTCTTTTTTCCCTGCTTTATGTAAATCTGTCGAAATTCTGTGGCATAATTATAATTTATAGTCATTTCACTTGATTCTGCGTCTCGCGACTTTCAGTCGGTCGTTACAATTATAATTATAATGTAACTAATTGGTCGGATTGGAACTGTGACAAGTGCCTGCCCGCATTATTGTTATTTAAATTGAGATGAAGGGGCTCGTTCAACTTATTCACCATTTATAACATTCACAACGCTGTAAATATTAAGCTTAGTGAGCGGAGCTTCGGTTCAGTGATAAATTTTCATCTGGTCTAATAAAGAAAACTCATCAATTCTAGAAGGAGTAGAATTAATGAGCATCTTCTCTGTGTGTTAATCAATCAATATTTATAACAAATTCCAATTCCAAATGCACAGTAGATATTGGGAAGTAATTCAGCCTAACATTGTTTTCAAACATATATTTTAATATCTTGTCTCTTATAAATATTCAATAGTTATTGCTCTTTGCCTTCTCTGGTGGAAAGCAAAGATTCATTCGAAAGGTTATCAATATTATCATTCAAATTGCAAACATTTCCATTCTCTCGGCTTAACCAGTTTGTGTTAGCCACTTTGCACAGTTTAGAATCTAGAGTCATTTTCGTGTAGATCAATATCGTTTCCATATTGATATCGCATTTAAATTCTCTCTATTCGATTGACGCATAGATTTAAACGCACAATCTGAATGTATAGTACCCAAGAGTTGTGTGTTTCGCATATCACTCACAAATGAAGCGATAGCATTTGCGCTTTTTGCAAAAAGAGTTCGAATATGACAATGATCGTTAACAATGGTGACAGGTGAATATGGCAAATGGCCCAACCTTACGATTGTACGAATATATAATTGTATATTTACACGCTAACGGTGACACAAAGTTGATATACACATTTGCGCTCCTGGTGCTATTTTTATTATTATTAGTATCATTCTGTACTAATGCTAGTTGCTCCGCGACGAAAAACAATGATTTTTCATTTTTTTTTGGATTCAGGACAAAATAATTTAGCTTCACAATTCTTAAGTCCGTTTTTCAACTTATGCATTCCGAAAAATGGGAAGCAACCAGCATCCACGTTGATGTAAATAATGTCTTGAGAATAGCGATATATAGAAACGGCTTTTTATGGCCATCATTTGAGTGTCACGAGCTGTCAACATTTCAATATTCTACATTGATCCAATCAGAGATTACTATGAGATATTTTTATTCATATGGGATAGAAATATCG